ACGATGACCTTAGCAGCGAACGAAGAAAAATCGATCAGCCGACGCGGCCGACACGTACAGCCACAAATTTAAAGTGCTGATCGATAAAGTCACTTTATAGTTCATGTTTTGCTCACCGGAATAAATTTGTCGAAGCGTATACTGACTTTATCGATCAGCAAATTTACAGTTACAGCTGTTTACTAGTTGGCCATGGGCTGATCGATAAAGTCAGTATACGCTTCGACAAATGATAGCCGGCCCAGCCGTACGAAAAGTCAGCAAACCAACAAATTTATTCTGGTGAGCAAAATATGAACTATAATTCTTATCCCGGAATTCTAACTTTTTCAAAAATTAAAGTCACTTTACGCTCTGACAAAGGAGAGCCGGCCCAATTGTCCGAAGCGTCAGCGAACGAATACACTCATTCAGGTGAGCACTAACATGATATATGAGAATCTGATGCTCAGGTGTAGTATAAAACGCACGGAATCTGACAGCCTACTATGCAGGATCTATGTTTTCGCAGTTTTTAGCGCAGAACCATTCCGGGAAGGGCATCGTAGACTGTTTGTGTGGTTGATCTGTCTGCTTTCTTCGACCAGTCATTTGCCTCAGGGACCCTAACTTGCATTGATTTCAAATAGACCTGTTCGGGCCGGGGGTGAGTGAGTGAGGACGACTTCGAAACTACGGCTGGGGTTTAGATGTAGCACATATTGCTTAAATTGCCCCGCGAATGTCATGTTTTATGTAAAAAAAGATCTCTCTGGTGGCAACCTCAGCTATCTGCTTTTCCCAACTTGTATCATCTCCTTACATTTAGGATAATTACTCGGGTAGACAATGAACCCGCCGTCTCTATTATTTGTTCTAGGTTATGGATCGAGAAACCTCCCTAGCACGCTCTCTTTTTACTGCGAGTTTGCAAGCATTCATAACTCTAACTTAAACCTTAACACCAACTCCAAATCTCCTCAGAACTTAGTGCCAAACACTCGAAAAGGAGAGGGGGAGGGCAGAGAGCGTTCCTGTTCCCTTGTTCTGCTACGGACTCTTCAGATCCAATCCAACAGTGTATGTAGAAATACGAGTTGAACGTTGTTTACCTTGACGGATGGATTTGCTCGTAGTACTTGCCCACCTGTTCACCTATCGTCTGACCAGAAAATGAAATGGGGAGGTGTGAACTGTAGTTTGCAAAAAATTGCAAAAGCCAGAATTCCTGTGACGAAACTACCAGAAGCTGAAGCAGGACTGCCAGCATTCGCTACCGTGGAGACGAAACCCAAAACTAACTGCCGTCAAGTCACGCCATGCAGCGAACGAGGAAAAATCGATCAGCCCACGGCCGACACGTACGTACAGCCACAACTTCAAATTGTTGATCGGTAAATTCACTTTACGCTCTGACAAAGGAGAGCCGTCCCAGGTCTTCGTAGCGTCAGCGAACAAATACAAGCATTCTGATGAGCGCAGCATGATCTTTGAGTTATGGGTTCGTGCAGGGACTGTGCTGCCAGATTAACGCGCGACGTGAACCAATTAGGGGCGTTTTTTGTGTCCAGCATATTTGCAGCGCAGCCCTCGGTGAGGACAGGTTGGCATACACTCGTAGTCACCAGAACTTATTCTGCGATCGCAAGGGGGGTTCTTTGACCAAAAAGGAGACAAGCAACTGACCGGATACATCCGGAGTGAGAAGGCTTGCGGAGGCGGGTGAGAGGAGAAGATCTTGACTTTCATCCAGCAGGGAGGAAGTTTCAAACGGCCGGAGTATTGCACTCTCCAGGGCCTCGTTTTCCAGGCCATGTGCCGTGCCATTTACTTCTAAGCCACCGGTGGAGGCCACCTTCTCGGCCAGACTTGCGGCCAGGCAGTACTCGGCTTCATCTAGCTTCAGATCACCGTCCGAATCCACCTGTTTCCTGCAGACAGAACGGGGAAAGAATTAAAAGACTATACCAACGACGCGCAACCAGCACAAAACATTTACAGTACTCCGTGATGAACGTTCACCCGACCGCTAGCCCGACTCATCTCCTCCGCTCTGCCTGGGGTCTCGACAGAGGCCCTGACAGCCGTAGCAACTGTTAGGGTAGGCAGATGGTATAACCGGCAAATACAGGGGGAGACCGCAATGGCCATTTCTGGCTTATTAGCCGTCGTCGGCCAGCCATACTCAGACCCAAGTGGCGTCCCACCCGAGCTTCGAGCTCGCAACCACTTTGATCAGAGTCAAACGCCCTAACCATTGGGCCACGAGGTCGTAGTCTTGCCGGTTTAAATCGGGAGATATTGACATTCGTCGTGAACGTTCACCCGACCGCTAACGCGACTAAACTCTTCCGCTTTGCCTGAGGTCTCGACAGAGGCCTTAGCAGCCGTAGCAGTTGGTAGTGTAGGCCATTGCAGTCTACACTGTCTTTGCCGGTAAAACTATCTGCCTACATTTACAGTACATTGGCTACCTCATTAAGTGTGAAGAGCGAAATTTAAATGGGCGGTTTAACACACATATTTGAGGTTGTTTATTTTGTTCATTGAATTGAGTTGAGGCGCAAAATGCTGTTTACTAGAAACTAGTTCAGTTAAAATCAATTTATAGAGGGTACAAGTTGGTCAACGCTGGCAAAATCCGACGTTTCTTGATATCCAAGGAATTTCCTATGCTATTAAACGCTGCGGACCAAAACTTATTGCGTGTGCGTACTGTACTATAAGAGAACTTTGATAAAGACCAGAAACGTTTTAATTATATCTGTTCAGAGGACAGAAGATGTTTTTTTCATCCATGAAAATGAGGTGAGTGCAAGTATGAGATAATGCAGTATTTTCGGAAAAAGAAGCGCGGACTCAGTTCAAAAAGTCGTCTTGCAAATCTGACAGGTTTTGTGCCATAAAGATCAGTAGTAAACTTGGGAGGCTGTAAGTTGTTTTACTGCATCGAAAATAGGGCCACAATCGAGCGAAATGTCGTCAGTTTTCGCTGTTATGCGCTATGCAAGTGATTTGCAGACATTTTCTATCTGCAGAGCGGAATCCATGAATACAGAAGCTTGAAACGCAACGGGCAGAAGATTATTACTTTGCTCAAAATCGTAGTTTATAGACTGCCACTCTATTGTGCTATGAGGTTGTTATTATCTTCGGCTCAACGATTTCTGGAACTCTCCACGTCCACCTCCGGCAAAATTCTGTCTGACCTACATACGATTGTTCAATAGAAGTGAATATGCGAGTTCCAGGAAGCAGTTCAGAAGAAGAAGACACGACCACTGGAACAAGAGTTCTATTTTCCTGACGTTTTGGATCCCGTAGGGTATCCCTAATCATAGGTAAAGGTAGGTTAGTCTGGATCATGCGCAGATAGGGGTTAAACATTCACAGGTTGCATGGTATTTATAGTTCGCAGCGGTCATCCGCGTGCGTACTATAATTCTCCACTTCTGTAGCCACCGCTTGGGTCCTAATTGGTGCGGTGATGGCTTGACACTTCGCGTTCGACTCATTAATTGTCGCGATTTCCTTGTACGTGTCGGATGTGGGTCTGATAATTGCGGGAAAATTATGTTCACTGTCATCGGAGTTGATGCTGCGCCCAGTCCTTCCCACGTGACTGATTCTGT